AGGAGGAGGAGGAGGAGGAGGATGAGGAGGAGGAGGAGAAGAGGGGGAGGAGGGGAGAGGGGGAGGGGGACAAGCTAGGTGCGCTCGCGTCATATCTGACATCCTACCCCTCCCTCCCATCCCTTACCATGGCGTAGATCCCCTCTCTACTCGCACAGTCAGATGTCGAGCAGGGCAATGATCTCGAAAGGGTGCGCGATGCATTGTAGAGCACGGCATGGCATGGCGTAGAAGAGCACCGCAAAGCGTAGTATCAACCTAGCATTGCATTGCATGTCGCTGCATGGCACGGGAAATGACGCCAGCACTGCAGCGGGAGCACGAGTGGGACCGAGCGGAAGCGCGGAAATGAGGCCAACGCTGCAGCGGGAGCACGATTCGGAACGAGCGGAAGCACGGAAACGAGGCCAGCGCTGCAGCGGGAGCACGATTCGGCATGAGCGGGGCCCGAAAATGAGGCCGGCGCCTCACCGAGAGCAGCATTTCGGAAACAAATGCAGGCGAAAACCACAGGAGGCCCCAGGAGGCCACAGGAAGCGCCAGGAGGCCTCGGAAGGCAACAGGAGGCCCCGAGAGGCCCCAGGAGCAGGAGGCCTCAGAAGGCAACAGGAGTGACTCCAATCCCATGTGTTTTTGTTTATGCTCCTATAGATTGGGCCTCACCTGGAGCACGAACCCTTGATGCTATACGTATGTTCCTATATATTGTCCGTCTCCTGCGTACGTAATCCTAAATGTTTTACTTATGTTCCTATATATATACATATATATATATATAGTGGTCCTCTCCTGGGGCACGAGTCCTTAGTGTTTTACGTGTGGTCCTATATATTGCCTTTCTCCTGTGGCTCCAACCCGCAATGTTATTTTGTACGTCTGTTACTATAGATTGGGCCTCTCCTGGGGCACGAATCCTCCCCAAGAGGCTCCTGGAGGCCCCAGGCTCATGCGCAGAGACGCGCTCGTACTACTGAGGCTCATTCACACTCCAATTCATTCGCAGTTAGATTCATGGCCAGACCGTCACAACTGAAGCCCGTTTATATTCGAAAGGTTTTGCGCCTAAACATTCACGGCGGACAGGTCCATGCGAATAGATGCACATGTGGGGAGCTCCACGTACATCATATGTTTGACTATGTTTGAATACCCCTCCTGCGGAGGGACAGGCCCGACTTAACGCTCGCCGCCGAGTGGCGGCGCCGCATGCGCGCCCCCCCACACACCGCCACCAGCTCGCCACCCACTTGCCGGCAGCACCGCCAGGAGAGCTGCACTGGCCGACCAGGTCGCCCTTCCCCAGCCCCCCGACTCACTCCTTGCTTTGGGTGCAGGCGGGGAGCTTCGATTGGCTCCCGCGCCGAACGTAGCAATCGAGGATGTATCGTCCATGCGTGGCCCATCGGGACACCATTGCCAGGACCCTGCGCCCGGCCCCCACCTTCACCCTCCGAGACCCAGACGGCAACGCAGCTGGCTTCCTGACGAAGGACCCGCGAGTCTCGAAGAAGAGAGACACCGGCATTCGCATGAACTTTTGACGCTCCGCGCGGAGCGCCAGCAGTTTCAGGCTTGGTCGGCGACTACAATTGGTGCGGTTACGCCAGGGTGCGGTTTGCGAGTTGCTTTGTGGCGGCCTTTCCGGGGCCTTTGTGAGAGACAATGTCATAACTGTCGTCGTTTCGAGCGACACTGTCATTCTCGACGTGTGCTCCATTGTATTAGATGGAGCGACAGCGTCTTGTGATTCGGTCGCATTAAGTGACAGTGCCATCCGTTCCCCGGGGGCGGGAGGGGCAGACATGACGGGGTGCAGACCACGCCCTTTGCAAACCGCACCCGTTATAGTCGCCGACTTGTGCCGCGTTTCCTTCTTCCGTTTCCCACCGTCGGCCCACGAGTCCTCCACGACGTCGTTTTGCTTCGTCGTCGCTGGCCGCAGCTCGCCGCCGAGACGGCGCGGTCGGCCTGCCCATGACATTCATCAGAGGAGGGAAAAGGTACCCATACCGCTACCCTTAAGTCGGGCCTGTCCCCCTACAGGGGGATTTTCCACGAAAAATTAAAGTACCCCCAAAATAGTCAAAGCATAGTCCAAAAACAGTCTGGGGATTATTGTTTGGCTATTTTTTTGCTTGTTGGGGGTATTTTTGGAGTATTTTCAATTTTTCGTTGAAAATCCCCCTGTAGGGGGACAGGCCCGACAACGCTACCTTCGCCCTTGGTTTCGCCTGTCCGGGCTTCCTCGGAGGCCCTTTGTCGCCACCCTCGGATTCGCTTCGGCATTCTGGCCAGAGCGCACCCTGGGAGAGGCCTGGGGAGCTACGGTATCGTTACCTTTTGGTTTCCCCAGTTCATCATCACCGCTCTCCGCAGCTCCCGCGGCCGCCGTCAATCAAAACGGCGGGCCAGCAGCAGCGGAAGCTGCTGCCGCCACGGCGGGTGAACAAGAGGGGGAGGGGGAGGGGGGGAGGAAGGACGAGGGAGGAGGACGATCACATTGTTTGATGATGAAGGCTGAGGATTTGCCGACCCGACCCTAGCCCGAAGCCGTGGGCTCGAGGCCAAGATCTGTGACTGCTGCAGCCCCCCTGCGACGGTGGGAGAGCACCATGCGTTCGAAATTATGTCCTTAGCAGGGTCCTCTCCCACGAGCTGGGCAAGACGAGTGACGGGAGTTCTGAGCACGGAGGGCGAGTTCTTCGCGCTCCTGGGCAACTTCCTCTCCTGGGCTCGAGCCGACTGTGGCGGCCCCTTGGTGGGGAGGTCTCTTCTCGCACTGGGTCGACAGCCCTCTGCTGTCACGCTTTGCATCGGATCCGCCCGTACGGCATACCAGCAACTCGCGGGGTGCTCGAGTTGCGCATCATATGATGAGTCATGACCTTCGTGATCCTGTAGCAGGGTCGAGGGTGCTTACAAGTACCAGAGCAGTGGGTCACATGGAATTGCTCAAGTTCCCTCTGTGTGCTGGTCTGACGGCCGAACGAGCATGTCCAGCGCCCTTTGATTGACACAATTGCATGATGCTTGTGGGGTTCGTCAGGGAACTTTGGAGGAGGAGACGGAGGAGGCTCAGGCGCCTAGGTGGAGCTTAGGGATGCCACGAGGCCTGAGCGGAGGCAGTACTGGACGGAACGGAAAGACTATTGACGGGCTTTGCACGAGCCTTGTTCTTGCGGGGAGCAATGCCATGCCACGCTCCAAGAGCGCTGGTCACGTATCTGATGTACTGCTCTATTTCAGACTGCCTGGGTTAGTTACCAAGTCTGGCGGCGGCCTTTGCAACTGTCTGCTGCATCATTGACGCACGGAGCACGAGTCCATTCTGTGTTTGGGGTCATCGCTCCTAGATCTTGGTGAGCATTGACGTTCTGGACCTTATCTTTGATATTGACAGACACAGCACCAGCAAGGCCCTTGCACCCCGCCCAGCGGAAAGGGAGGAGGAGGAGGAGGAAAAGCGGGCGGAGGAAGAGCAGGGCGACCAAGAAGGCCAGAGGCCTTTTGGTTGCCTCTCTGAGTCTGCTCGGATGTCTCTTGAGAGCTTCTTGGGGTCCTCTTGGGGCGTCTTGGGGCCTCTTGGCTGTCCCCGGGGCCTCGTGGAGCGTTTGTGGTGCCTCGGGGCAGCCTCTTGGGGCCTCGTGTGCGTTTCTTGAGAGCCTCGTGGGAACTTCAGGAGAGTTTCTCGTGGGGCACTCTCAGGAGCGTTGGGGGCCATCTTACATCCATCTTTGCGCAGCTCGATCGAAAAAGGGGGGGGTCCTCAATGTGCGTCGCCCCCCCCAGGAGGCCCAAATGGGCCCAATTCAAATCAATGGCTATTGTCGTCTCGCTAAGGCCAAAAAGTACCCTCTGACACGTCGCAACCCCTCCCTCCCGGCGAGGGGTAAGCCCCTTCCCGAAGGGGAAGGGGGTGGTCGGAAGATAAAACACCCCCGACCACTCACGCCCTCAGGGGCTGGTAGGATTTCGAAGCTATCCCTGGCGGTCGTGGGCTGCACCTGTGCCAAGAAGAGATCCAGGATCATCATTTTTTACCGTCCAGCGAAGCCCAGTGGCAAAGGAGGACACAGGGGGAGAAGGAGTAGGAGGAGGAGGGGGATGAGGAGGAGGGGGAGGAGGACACAGGAGGAGGAGGAACAGGGGAGAGCAGGATCAGCACGTGATTGGAGAGCGCAGCAGATTAGCTCCGCCCAAGCCCCTCATCCTGCTGTGCGGATTAGACAGACTCGGCTCTGCCTGCTTCTGCGGCAATAAGGTCGACGAGCCTGAGAGGGGGGCTCTGAAAAACAGACGGGGCCTTGACTGAGGACTTGGGGTGCTTACCTGCGCAGAGGAGCCTCCATTGGGTTCTGTCACCCTCTCGTCTGGAACCTTGGCAGCTCTCGTTGAGCTTATTCACATTCGATTCGCTGTACTTGCCGCAGTCAGAACACATCATGATGAAATTAAAGCTGCTAGCTTGACGGGCAACATAAACCTTGTGGCCCTGGGGATTGGCTGCTATCTGAGACATCTGTAGGTGATAGCTCCGACAAGCCTCATCTTTGCGAGACTCAAATTCTGTCCGAGCATCTGGACTTACACACCGAGCACAGCCATTTCTTGGACCGGTTGCCCAGGAGTGGCAGAGACGTTGGGGCCGAGGGACCGCAGGAGCAGGCGGAGGAGGGGCCTCGCCAGTTCAAACCGCACGGGCGCTAGAGGCTCCAGCCACAACGGCTGAGCAGCAGTTTTGTCCCGAGAGGCGAAAGTTGTTTTGCTGGTCAGAGCTCCGACTGGCTCCCACAAACCCAGCGCCACTTGCCCAACAAGGATCTGGCTTGGGTGGCTTCCTTGATCTCCTTGGTCGAGGGGCGCTGTAGCATCCAGGCACCCAGCTTAGCGAATTTGTCGGCAAAATCGCTGGTGAGCCTTGACTTTGTCGAAAGAGATTCCCCGGTGCCAGTTGGCCGAACCGTTGGCCAACATCGCAACTCCCGAAAACTTGTGCTTCCTAGTGTGGTAGGTTCTGTACACATCAATCACTCCATGATAATATGTGATGATCTTATCTATTGAGTTTATCTATTGAGCAGGGGGATGAGTCACAGCAGCAAGCACAGCAAGGTGCTCGGCGGAGGAAGAGGACTGGGGGAGGTTGCGGCCTACTGGGCCGTACACAGCCGATGTCGTCTCGCCTTCTTCGTCGAGGGCGATGGATGCGTGTCCTGCTGCATTGTAATCTTGGGGGCCCTGCTTTAAACACGATCTGTCAGTATATGTAGTTCGTCCAAGAGCCTCAGAGATGGCTATGTTATTGCGGGTCCATACGACCTGCTGGTCCAATCCCAGGCCTTCTGGAGTCCCAGTGGACCAATCTAAATCTTCCAAAGCACATTCGACGGGTCCTTTAGGACCTGAGCCTCACCTCTGAGCGGCGCTGTACAGGAGCCACTCACGAGTCTATGATGTATATCGCCCGAGTGGTTTCCACACTGGCAGTTGGTATCCGTAGGGTGTCCAGCTTTTTTCAAAAAGGAACGGGTCCAAATGCACTGGGTCAGGAAAGCCAGGAGGGTGGTTTTCTCGGACTGAGATAAACTTGGACAGTTCAGAACCTTCTTCGCCGTTGTAGTGTCGATCATTCCCTGGAGTCCGAACTTCTCGGTTGTCTGCGCGTGCAACTGCTGGTCCCAGGCCTGCTGCCTCCAGGTCTGAACAAACTAGGAGATGTTGAGGTAAGGATATGAGTCCTCTGCTGATGGTCGAGTATCGTGAAAGGAGATGTGAACTTCCATCCTACACGTCGGGCGTTTATCACAGCTGCTCCAAAAGGACGTCCGCATTCTCTCCACGAGGCGGGGGGATTTTCGAGGACAACGGCAGCTCACGCGCGAAGACTGTGGAGATCATGGCCCAGTGAGTTCTGGCCGATCATCGCACGACAGACCAACTGCGACCATCTAATGATTGGCCCCACTCTTGGTCTCCAGCATGGGTCGCTCAGTAAGCAGGGGAGGGCAGGAGCAGGAGGGAGGATGCCTGGAGGGAGCAGAGAGGGACCGCGGAGGACGGACGGACGGCCGACCAGGCAGGCAGGAGGAGACAAGAGGCAGAGGGGGACGGGGGGGAAGGGAGGGTGCAGGAGGAGTCGAAGACGAACAAACGCCATGAAATTCAACTTTCGTCGCTGCGCGCGGACTTCTCGGTTCCGCTCTGGACCCCCCCCATGGCGCGCGGAACGCGCCAGGGCGGCGCCGGAGGCGTCGCCGGGGGGGCCCAGCGCGGATCTAAGACATCCGCGCGGAGCGCCAAAAGTGTATGTGCATGGCGCGTTTTCTCCTTCCAAGGCAAAGGGATGACGCGGGGGAGGAGATCTTGGAGGCAGAGCAGGAGGAGGAGACGGAGGGGGCGCGCGTGCGCGAAGCGAAGACGAGCGCGCAGGCGGGCTGGCCGTCGTTCGGAGACGAGGACCGGCCCCGGCCCCGGGCGGGGGTGCCGCGCGGAGGGGGGCCCACCGCACGGTTTGATCTGCTCTTCCGCTCCACGCCTTCCCGGCGATTCCAGCATCGTGTACCTTCATCCTCCAGCATCGTCTGCCTTCTCTGCACCCCTCCTCCAGCATCGCCCACCTTCATCCCTGCTCCCCTCCTCCTCCTCCTGCTCCTCCTCCTCCTCCCTCATCCTTCCTTTCCTCCTCCAGCTCCTCCTCTTCGACCTCCTCCCCCTCCTCATCCTCCTGCTCCTCCTGCTCCTCCACCCCTCATTTCTCAGGATGCATCGCTTGGGGGAACTTGCTTCAGCATCGGCGCTGGTACAGCCGTGGTCGCAGACCAGCCCAGTCCGGCAAGGTCCTGCGTATTCCGGCTTGTGCATGCAGTGCAGGCGCAGCTTTTTTCCGGAGGGTTCCAAACAGGGTTTTTGGGGAGGGGGTTTTCCAGGAGGAGTCCCCCAGTCGCACCCTCTGTTTGGACGAGGTTCCGAGGCCCCTGGGGGGGCTCTCTGGCAACCCCCCTCCCCAAAACCCTCTTTGAAACCCTCTGGTATTTCATGGACCAGACCGGTGGCCCACCAAGAGCGACAATCTATGCAGAGTAGTTGTGCAGCTTGCCAGCGAATCCGCTCCTGTTACTGCACGACCCAAACAGGTCTGCTGCCTCTATTCCTGCACGGTTGCCGGTACCCGTTTACACTTGCTCGTGTTTGGACACCGCATCTTTGAGTTGCTGGCAAGGGTAATGCGAAAGGAGGGGGGAACATTAGGAAGAGATCAGGAGTAGTTGGGAAAGGCAGTGCGATGGGAGGGTGAGGGGGGATAAGTGCGTCCGGTTTCTTTGGGGGGCGAGAGGAGGGCCAGGGAGGTGCTGGCAGAGAGGGGTGGCCTTGGGGTGCAGGAGAAGAAGGCGGACACAGACAGGATGGGGAGGACGGGAGGATTATCATGAGGATGAGGGA